TGTCCGTACTAAAATCCCTTAACTTTGTTCTTCTAATGGTTGTTTGATGTCCGTACTAAAACCCCTTAACTTTGTTCTTCTAATGGTTGTTTTACGTCTAGGCTAAAATCCCTTATCTTTGTTCTTCTAATGGTTGTTTGATGTCCGTACTAAAATCCCTTAACTTTGTTCTTCTAATGGTTGTTTGATGTCCGTACTAAAATCCCTTAACTTTGTTCTTCTAATGGTTGTTTTACGTCCAAGATAAAATCCCTTAACTCTGTTCTTCTAAGCACATAGTGACTGTACTATCAAGCACATAGTGACTGTACGACCAGTGGATTTGATGACGCATATCTTCTTGTAATTCTCGAAGGCCAAAACTATACATATATTACGTATATATGACGTAGCCTGTAACTGCACTTAATAACACCAGGTGAAAACGAGAATGTTAAAAAAAAGGGATTTCTACAAACTCAGATTTAACTTCTTAATTTCATTTCACTATAAGTGATACCAGCGAAATAAACGACATGTTGAATAATTTGTGCTTACCATGAGAGAACAGTTTCAGAGCAACAAGAGAGCCGACGGTATATCACGAAACTACTTGGTAGTGTGCCATGCGGCCAAAACGACCTACAGGGTACACTGTGTGTTATTAACAGGAGTGATAGTTTACCCATTTCCCACCTTCTGTAGCTCGAACTGTGGTGATCCAAACTATCACATATTTTCAGTGGATGTACTCTACTGGACTCTTACTTCACATACCAAATTTAAAGATAATATATTAAGAAGTACCTAAGATATAACATCTCCAATTTTGATTAAAGTTTTTTTTTCCTTCACACTGAAAGTACGGAAACTTTGTTTGATAGAAAAACATACTTAACTTTTATGTATTTTTCAAATTTAGTACACTATTAGATCTTTAAAGCCTATAATTAGGTGTCAAATTTGGTCTAAATATATGCTAAATGTACAAAGTTATTCAATAAAAACCGCTCAAATTTGACGAAAAAAATGTTGCACACGCCTACGCAAAAAGTCACGTGAGCTTTCGGTCTTAACTTTTTTTACTACAGCTTCACCTAAGAGTAAAAGTGGACCATTTTAAGTTTTTATCATTCATATCAAAGACGGCTGATTTAGAACAGGAATACTATAGGGTGAAAAGACGTGCAATCTAGTTTGCTTGGCCTAACCAATACTTATGTATCTGTGATTCTTTTGAAAACTTGAACTAGAAACTACTAGAAAGTGACACTCGTTAGTAACCAACATTAGCTTTATGATTGCAACCCCTAATATTCGGAATATACCTATACTTTACAGAACCTACCAGATTCTTTGAAATATATGGTGCTGAAGCTAATATCACGTGATGCTAAACGCTCTTAAATTAGGAGAATTTCATAAAATTTATGCATAAAAGTTGGCAATGAAATGTAACTTGCTGTGGTTTGTTGGTGTGCATTAACGAAAAGTCTAATCAAAAACTCCTCAGGTGTAAAATAAAGGTTCTGTCAAAAACAGGATTTAACATGCATATTAAAGGAATGAAATTAAAATAGACGGCCAATCTGGTATTGATAAGAATATTACAGCAAATATTCATTTGTTTGACTTAGGTAAGCCGCGTATTTTATTTTACCAACCACCATGTCCCAACTTCAACAAAAAACACCGCCTGAATGAAAATTTGCTCTAAAATTATCATCAATGCTATAAGTGTAGCTACCAGTTTGGCCGCCAATTTTGATTTCACTCCTTTAAGTCGCACGCTCAATTCATTTTTCACACCTAAGGTGTTTTTCATTAGATGTTTATATCTGAACTGAGTTTCTTATGGACTGCTGATGTCACTTCGTTTCTAGACGATGTTTCAGGCTCTATGGTGAATTACTCATCAGTTCTGTACTGGAATGGAATGGATTGTTTTCAATTTCGTTGTGGTGGAATTTCCCCCTATAGTCGTATTGACCCATTCTAACTAGTATGGATTTCGGATTTAAAACTAGAGTCGCTCGGAAATTAAGCAATTTCCCATCGCAATAATAAGTATGTTCAGCATGCAGTTTGTGTAATAGAATTTCTCTATAAAAAGGACATTAGCCACCCACCCACTATTTCACCAACACATGATATGTAACTCTTTCCCTAAACAAACAAAGAAATACAACTATACATTTGCCCACGATCACAACTACACATAATTAGCCTCCAAAGTTCATTATTAATGGAGAATTTGAATTAATACACACAGATTTGAACTGAAAAATTAACAATCAAAACGGTCTCATTCTGCAATCATTTACAAACCTGAACAGTCTCTTCATCATCAATAATAACAAACCCACTAGGATATCTCACGACATTTATTATTCTTCGTTATCACATCTAGTCATTTATTACCCTGTGTCAAAACTTTACAGTACATGTAAACATTGGAGGTGATCATAACCCTGTTTACAGGCAATTTAAAATAAACCCATCGATAAAGCTATATAACTGTTCCAACTCAGTATACAACTTTGACAAAATTAACTGGAAACCATTCCAAACTAGCCTTGACAGTTTTCTACCCCCAGTACACACATCATCTAGTCCCCTGGTTTTTCGAGAAAGAGAAGTGGGCAGCGAATCGTTAGTGAAAAGTATCAGTGTTGTCTTTGATACATCTGTTAACTAAATTCAAAGTAGTATTCTCCAATGTAGCAGATGCGGGTTAGGTGAAGACATGTGGGAAATATGTTGCGAAAAATTGAGATTTTTTCTTCGTTTGTGTCATTATGTTTTAGAGATGTATATGAATGTGTATTTTTTATAGGAATTGCTTTGCATATTTGCGAGGATAATTTGCAAAGGTGGATACTTATTTACATAGACGGACTCATTTCAATCGCCGAAATGAAAAAAAAAATCAACATCAATTCATGAGGAAACAAATTATCCGGGGGTGATCAATTCCCAATTCCTGTCCTGAAAAATTCAACTAATCTTCTTTTAAAATACCTCTGTTTTAAATATATGATCTCTCCATTACTTCAGCCTACTTTACATCCTAGCGAAAAATGGTTATTCTAACTGTAATGTCAAAAACAAGTTTGATAGAAATAACTAAGGTAACTTCAGACCGACCAACTTTTCCTTGCTAACGTTCGCTAATCGTCTTGCACCCAACCTAGAATCCAATAATCTACTTATTGAAAATGCGTCCAGTATCAATCTCCAAAGCGCCCGTCATATTGTAAGTCTTACACAAACAGTATTTCAAGCGTTTCGTAAAAAACATTCAACTGT